TTCGTGCGCCGAATAAGCCACAGGGCAGTGTGGACGAAATTCGGCACCGTCCGGAGGAATACTTACAAGGTGGACGCACGCGGTTGTGGGCAAAGGATGGTTTCTTTAAGTGGGTAAATGAAACTATCATGACGTTCGACGTTTTGTTATGAATGATTGCCCCAACGGTGTGACAGCGGTGACGCATGCAATCTTGAAGGCAGCGGCACAACGTGGCAGGGCAGAGAAAAAGGAGGGAACGAACAACCTGGGCGAACACGAACGCATTAAGACGTTGAGGGAAGAATTGGCCGCCACCAAAAAAAAACCGACCGAGGCAATCTGTTTGAATCGAGCTCTGCGGCAAAAGGCAAGGGAAAGGTTAAGCAAGTAGCTGTGTGATGTGATCATGAGAGGGGCTGCGAGCAAGTTGCCGCAGTTCCAGAAGCAACTTTGGAAATGCAGACGCGCGGCCAGCATCGCGTATAGGGAGGGCACAGGGAAAGCTGGCCAGAACGGGGTAGCAACAGTATTCGCATATGTTGTATAAATCTGCGTATTCCGAGGGCTGTGGGGCGCATGGTGGGACGGAGAGGCTCCGTGCAACGACAGCGCAGGATATGAAGGGCGACTTGGCACAGTGCATGCAGAGTTTGAAACGCCACAGAGCGTGCGCCGAAGACGGGCTTGTGGCAGAGATGCTAAAAGTTGGTGGTCATGACAAGATTCGTGCGTTGGTACAACTGCTGGGACGCGTCTTTTTGTTTACTGAATGGGGAAGCGCGCGTTCCAGAGTCTTAGAATATTTCAGAATAGTGGCGTTGCTCCAAAAAGGGGACGCGAGCTTGTCGAACAATGACACACCAGTCGTAATCATTCCATTTGTTTTGCTATACAGTAGCGAATTGTTCAGACAAATGGGGGAGACCATGCACCATGCCAGAACTCCAGAAGAAGTGGGCTTTCTCAAAGGATGCGGCTGCTGTGGTTTGGCGCATCGCTTGCGGATGACCAGTGGGAACGGAAACGAAGGGGGTAACATGCATGGGCCGCATCCATCGGTTTAGAGAAAGCATTTGGCAACATCATGCACACCGTTTTTAATGGTTTGCTAGCAACGGGTGTGGGGGAGGAGGAGGTGGGCGCAGTTCAAAACGTGTAAAAGCAGCGCGACCGCTCGCAACATTTATTTTGACATTATGCGCGGCGTCAAATAGGGGTATCCACTACCCAGTCCTCTTCGCAAGTACTGTCCGGAATTTTATGGCGAAATTATTAATACATGCGAAGCAATGCCGCATGGATGTATTGTCGGACACAGTTTTCTGAGAAAGTGCCACCGCGCGTACTTCATGTTTGCCAGCGATGCGACCTCAATCGCAAAATCAAGGCAAGCCCTCGGACGAATGATGGAAGACATCTGGGAGAGTTGGCAAACGTCAAACGGACATTAAACGTCAGCATCTGCTGTTTGCAATGCGTCGGGGGAGCTGCGCTGCCGGGCCAGAAGATACAATTGGCTTGGGAAGGGTATCTCATTATCAGTTGCGCATGAGGATTCAACGTGCTTGGCAGCATTGCAACTTTTGCTTTTGGTGGGCGTGAGTCGTTCGAGTCCATTTCAAGATTGAGAGCCCCTATGGGCGAAGTTTTCGAATTTTTCTGCGCTGCTTGCCAACTGAAAGCTTCGGCGGCGAATCATTTGAAGTTGTCGACGCAACAGTGTTCAATACTATACCGTGGTGTTCCGAGTCGCGGGGGGAATCCATCGGTCGATGTTGCGACGCATTGCGCGGCTCAGACGACGACCTGAGGAGGATTGCTCATCGTGGATGCGGAGGGCGACGCGGGCGGCTGACGACGGAGCTCGAAGAGTGGGCGTCGCGCGCTGGACGGAAATACTCTTGCGACGCAAGTGGCGCCAGGGTGGGAAAATTGCAAACGTGGCGCCCGATAGGTGGGCAACAGAGACAACCGACCGATTGGCGAAATGCAGAATGGTGGTCGCAGCCATCGCGCGGAACTTCCTCCTACAACGTTCGATGTCGGACAGGCAGGTTTGCGCGATTGGAAGATGATGTTGGTTCTGTTGCGCAGCCGTCAGATGTTTGGCAGAGGCGCGAAGACGAGCGCGCGAACCGCGTTTGGCGGTAGAGGCCCCGCACCCGAGATCACGAGTTTCATGTCTTGTGTTCTTTTTGTTTCGCCTTCCCGGTGGCTCGCGCGCTGCGCGGAGCGCCTGCTGCCCTACTTGGGTCGCCTTCGGGGCGACGGCAGACTCGTTCGTTCGTTCTGGGCTCTTTTTACAGCCTGGCGCTGATTTGCCTGCGTTTCGAATCGCTTTTGGGGCTTCTTGAGGATCTCTTCAAGCTCTCGGCGCCGCCTCGGGGCCCGAGAAGCCCGTTGGGACCGCAGAGGCTTGAAAGCAGCAGTATCACAAATAACCGCGTGTGTCACGCGACCGGATTCTATCTGCTTGGGGGGTGGCGGACAGCGCGCGTAGCGCGCCGTTTGCTACTCGGAAGGAACACGCGGCGCACATGCCCCGGCGCGGGGGGGGTGACGAGGAGGGATGGCATTTTGGGGCCATCCTGGTGCTATCTCGGGATCTTTTGGGGCCTTTCGGGGCCAGTGTGTCGGGTCTGGGGTCAGGGAAGTTCGGATGTGCAAGGGGGCGGACGACCACGAACGGTGAAGAAAATACAAGGCTCGGGGCGCTAGGATAGCAGTGCAAGATAAGAGCTAAGGGTATCATTTGCCCATGGCTTGATGGGTTTGCGAATTTCACTGGGTGGAAGTCTGTTCTGAAGTAGAAGTTCATTCGGCAGGCGCGCTTCCGGATTGAGTATTTGCAGCCACTTCGCGCGCGCAGTCGGCTGCGCGCACTTGTCCCTGCGGACAAGGCGCTGGTGATGGACACTTCTGCACCGCCTTTGATGCTGGAATCGCGCCTCCTTGGTCTGCGGAATTCACCGCGCATCAGAGTAACGGGGCCGGGTGGTCTTACACTCACTGGGTGCGTGAGTGAAATGTGTCTCCGCGGCGCGGATTCTGCGTTGAGTTGTCGTCGCCGTTTCGCCCGCGACCCACCCGCGCCAGCTCACTGTTATTCGCAAGTGCTGGGGACCAGCTATCTCACAGTCTGCATGGGGACACGCGCGAAGCGGGCTTCAGGGCAGCCGCGGCCTGGGCCATAACTTTACTGAGCGTGTCCTAGCTGATTGGGCATGACGGTGCGGGTTCTACTCCAATCACGACCCTATCAGTGTACGACAGGATGGCGGGCCGTTGCCGAGAGTTTCGCCAGCAGTCTCGAGAATTCCGTTTTGGGCAGTGCGCTCATTTCTATTTGTTTTGTTTCTTTCTGTAGCGGAATGGCTGGGCTGGGGCGGTTGTGTGGGTTTGTGGTTGTTCTGTTCTGCGTGAGATTTGTTTTTTTGGAGTTGTCATTTTAGTTTTTGGGGAGCAGCCGAACACTAAACTGTACGGTATGCACGGCAGGCCTCCCACACGTTTCTTGTGTGCTCCGTTTGAAGGGGGAGCAGTGCATGATGATGGAGGCATGCCGTGTGCGATATGCCTCCATCCTATTGGCGGGGTTTTGCCCTTAGATCCGACGTTGCAGAAAAAAACAACATCACAAACAAATCACGACTGGACCTCCAGACCCCATCTTCAAAAACAGCATTGCAAAAAATCGCGACCGGACTCCCAAACCCAATCTTTCTTTCTCATTTGTCGCGCTGGATCGATCCATCAGGGCGCGGGTCCCGAAATTGAGCGACAGCGCCTGGCTCCAGCAGAAGTGGGTCGCCAGGGCCTCAGGGAGCGGTATTGCTTGCGTCTCGAATGTCCGCGCCCGCGAGTCTCGGGTTGACCCACAGGGAGGTCCAACGACAAGGAGGTGGTGCAATAGATTTGGTGCAATAGTTTTGTGGGGTTGCAATACATTTGGGGCGTGTAATACATTCCGGGGCGCAAGCGTATTGCTGGATTTTCGCGTGCAATGCATTATTTGCGATACAATGCAATGCAATTCTCTGGCGCAATACATGTGCAATACCATTGCCGCAAATCTATTGCACCACCCCCTTTCAGCTGGACCCCTCTTGGGTCACCCAAAGAATCGTAGCCCCTCGGCGTCGGTGGGACTGGCTCTCCCTCCTGGTGATCGTTTTTTATGTGTTGTTCTGCCGATCGGCGCAGGCCCCCTCAACCCCCTCCCCCCCCCCATGGTATAGATCTTGCTATTTTTTGGGGGTGCCTGTTTCGTTTCGAGCGGGTGGAGTCTCCCCCAGAGGCAGCACTCTTGCAAGCAGTCGCCCTAAGCAGGGGTCTGGAGCCAGACCCCTCCCCTCCCTCCCTCCTTCCGCCCAATGTCGAAACGCCGAATAAGAAGACGCTCACCTGGCTGCTGTGTTCCCGTGCCGTTCCATGTTCTCCATGTTCGCAGGCTGGCGGAGCTCGCGAACTGCTGGCCGCACGATGCGGGACGGCTCGCCTCCCAGGTGCCAAGGGGGTGTGCGTCGTCTTTTGTTCCCCTCGAGCACGCGCGTCTCCTCGTTGGCGCAGGCTGTCTCGGGAGACGCCGCACCGTAGTGGCAGCCGTAGACGCCGTGGACGCGCCAACGGTGTGTTGGCGGACGGCGAAGTGGGACAACCGATTGCAGGAAGGCGTGGTTCGTGGCCTGACCAATCGTAGGAACGCGTGGTTCGTGCTTTCCTACAAGTCGCTGCGTCGTTTTCGCTCGATACCTTCGAATCTTTGGAATGTAGGATACGGTGTTCGCGATTTCCTGCATTTTGTTTTGTGTGAGTTCGGTGTCGCAGAAACAATATTCCCAACCGCACCGTTAACCAAGCACGCCGTCAGCGCGGCCTTGGAGACACGACACGCCCAGATTTCCGCATCTGCGCAGCACTTGCGAGGATCGGCTTACGGCTTAGAGATGGGGAAGAGATCCCCAAGCAGCGGCCGACTTGCAGCACCCCGCTTTGCATCTCTCACGTCATGACAGCAGGCGTTGCGGTGGACAATTTCTTTGTGTACTGGGTCAACAAGGCCTCTGGCACAACGGTTCCCTGCCTCCGCTTGCAATCTTATGTTGTTCCAGCCTGCATGTTAGCATTGACCATGAGTTGACCGCAACTCATAACATGCTCCCGGTCATTATGTATCCCCTTGATTGTAGGTGTGGACCTAGAGGCAAGGGGTTTCTCTTTATTAGCAGCGATTGTTCATCCACGTGATACAATTTCTGTGTTGATAGACGGGGAAGGGAGTGGATCAGGTTGATGATGTATAGCCAAATCCGTGTGTTCTGGGCCCCACGCAGCGATTCTTGTACTCTTGCGATTTAACACATAGAATGCAAGCTAGGTGGTGCAGTGTATGGGGCGCACAATTCTTTGATACAATACGTGCGGGGCAGTCTCTTTGGTGCACACTAAGTGATGCAAGCTGCACTGCGCCGTCTGTGAGCTGCCGCCTGTGTGGTTGAGGCTGTTTGGAGCAACCAGGCTTGTGGAACATGTTGGCCAAATATATGCGCTGTGGTGCAATCTGAAACATCAAGCCATCGGATGTCTGGGCATGGCGACGCTTCGACCACAAGATAGACCACACCACTCTTCCTCACGGCCCGCCATGTTGCGCCGCGGCACACATCGGGGGCCGTGGCGCACACCACGCAGCAGACCGAGCCGGAATGCGTGGTCTGAGAATGCCCGTGGGGTCGCAGGTGGGGTTGTGTCGTTTGTGTTCTGACCCAGCGCTGTCGATGACGCCGACGCTGACGATTGACCCCGAGCCTCGGCCCTCTCCCGGATGGTGATCCTGCCAGAGTCTGCCAGCTGCAGCCCGAGCGCGGCCGCGTGGGTGGCCTCCTGGAGGCCCGAGGCGGCCTCCAGGACCTCCCAAGATGGGCCTTCGATCCTCGACGGCGTCCTCGACGACCACGGCGATGGGTTCGGTGGCAACTCGTAGGAGCCTCCCATACCATCTTGCCAACTCCTGCGAATCGATCCTGAATCGACGCCAGCCGACGCTAGATCGGCGCCATCTCATCGGGCTCCGGACGCTCCTCGACGCTGGTCGACGCTGAAGGCGGAGCTGCGAGGGCAGAGGGCTCCCACGAGCTGCTGCCGAGGGTGGAGGCCGGCATTTCTTTTGGCCCGCCGCAGCGCGGCAGAGGCGGCCCGCCTGCGCGCTCCCGTCGGCCGGGAGCGTGCGGACGGAGTGGCTGGCGGCGGGAGAGGAGCGGGGGGCAGGCTGGAGGGTAGAGAGTCAAGAGTGGAGGTCAGAGGAGAGATAGAGAGAGAGAGAGAGAGTAGAGTCGAGACAGAGATAGAGTTGAGCAGACAGTAGGGGGCAGAGTGGTTCGAGAGGGGGGGAGAGTCACGAGAGCAGAGGTGGAGGGCACCCGCCGCGCGAAGACCTTCGGCAGGGGTGGGCCGGTGCGGCCAGCCCGTGCTCAGCGGCCCGGCAGCGGCCGCGGAAGGACGCCGCGGCCAGTGGCGACCAGTCCATCCGACGTCCTGTTTTTTCAAACCCTGGGTCCTCGGAAGGCCCGGCCCCTTCCCCAGGAACGGCTTTTCATGAGACCGCTTTGGGCTCCCTGGCGATAGAAAGGGCGTGGCCAAAGGGTGGGGGGTGGGGGGAGGAGTCAAGGGAGGAAAAACCACCCTGACCGGACAATCGGCGTTTACTAAACGGCTTTGGGCGTTTACTACACAGCCCTGCCCTGTTCGATTCCTTCAGTGGGGGCGTTTACTAAACGGCTTCGCGTGTCGGGGTGCGTAGTATGCGGGTGGATTTTTTGCTTGCTAAGGAGACCAGTCACGTCACGAGTCGCGCTGGCGCCGTCTGGGAATGCCTGAGAATGGGTTGTTCCCAGATGGCGCCAGCGCGGATCGTGACGTGACCAAGGGTGGGGGCTGGAATGGGGGACGGGGCCGGTCACGGGCGTCATGGCGAATATCCCAAAACGGGTTCCATTTTGGGCCGTTTTTTGACGGTCCCGGTGCGCGGCGAGGGCCCACAAAGGCCAAAAACACGGCCAAACAGCAAGTCCAATGCAGAGGCCAAAAACACGGCCAAACAGCAAATACGTCGTAAAATTCTCACGCGCGACCCAGTGATGCAAGCATGTTTGGGCCCAGCATCTCCAATATGCATTCTTCCAGCCACGCGCAGAAGGGGGGTAATTGCAGGGAGGGGGGAAGGCTCCTCAGAAGCGCCCCTGCTTCTTAGAAGGCGCAGGCCTTCTCTGTAGATGTAAGGCCCGCGCCTTCTAAGAAACCGACTCGTTCTAAGAAGCCTTCCCCCCTCCCCCCACCCTCAAAAGGTCCAGGATTCATTCGAGACTGGTTTCCTTGCAGAGCCGCCGAAACTTTCCCGAAACCCTCCGAAGACCCTCCGGGAGGGATCCCGGGAGGCTTTTCGGAGGGTTTGGGGGGGTTTTGGAAGGGTTTTCGTTGTTTTGGGGGGAAGCCAGTCCCCAGCGAACCCTGGTCCTTTGAACCCTACCTTCCTTTACGCGCCGCCAGTTCTCGAGGCTAGATTCGTTCAAACTCGATCCCTGGAGCCCTCACGGGGTCCATCTGGTGCAATTTTTCAACCCGGACCCGCTTCTGAAGGCCCCGGGGCCCAAAAACGGCTCCCACAGGCCGAAAGGGGCCAGAAACCTCCCGGCGTTTTGTTTTTTTTTTTTTTTTTTTTTTCCTCCCCCAACCACAGCGCCACCAAGCCCCTCCAACACTACAGTCCATCAGTGCCCAACTGCTGGAAGCCGTTGCCCCCCCCCCTCCCAAACAAAAACAAACAAAAAAACGAAACAAACAAAAAAAACCTTCCGGCGCCTCGCGCACCTTCCCAAACCTCCCCCTCTGCCCCCCTCTGCGCGCCTCCAATCCTCGAGCGTCGACGGCGAGCACGGCGAGGGCCAGAGGAGTCTCTCGCGGCCCGCCGCGCGCGAAGGAGGAAGGGAACACACGAGAGGGCACGACGAGGGGACTGGCGGCGCGCACGCGGCGACCTCTTCCCTCTCGATACGCCCATCTGCGCCGCGAGGGCGACGCGAGGGCG